GTATCGAGCCCAAAACATGCTGCTGTGAACTTGATAGCCCTGCGCAATAGAGAGGCTTTTAGGTCAAAATATGTAGTTTTATTAATCTGCATTATGTAAGTTACATTTTTTAGGTTAATCACATGTTAACATTGTCAGCCCTATTTTTTGTAACCTAATTTACACATTCTATTCATTAGATTCTTACATTACTGAACCGTTTGGTGTAACTCCTCTTAATCTTTCTTTCACGTGGTATATGGCCCTCTACACATACGCTTAACTATTTGTTTATTTTGCATTAATTGTATAACGAAGCAATATCAAATTGTAACAACATGCCAAGCAGAGATTTCTACCTACCATTTACAGACCCAAAGCCAAGAGAACCATAAAAGTCATCTTTACTGAAAATAATGCACCCTGTGAAAATGTCAAGTTTTCGACATGACTCACTGCAAAAGGAAAAGAAAAAAAAAAGCTATTTATATATTGCACATACAACAAAAGCTCTTCTATATGTTGCATTATAAAGTCTTTCATGCTGCAGCATACAGATCAATAGCCTGTGTTTCAGTTATTCTTTCATTCCTGCTGTGGCTGATAACCTTCTCCCAGTCCCGCTTTCATAATGAGAACACATGACACCAGCACCAGAGCAGCAGCTGTAACACAATACAGCAGAATGACAAAGCAGAGGGACCCCATTTATCGCACCTCGTAGCTCGCATAAAGCAACTCAGAAAGTAAAAACTGTACGAGTAAAAAAAAAAAACATTTATATATCCACTCCTGCTTGCATGCATGCCTTTGTACAGGATTTCTGTGTGTTTATTCTGCACGAGTAAGATTTTTAAAAAAAATCTTTTTCTATTTTATTTCTTCTGCCTGGCTTAGAAGTGCTGAAGATGGAAGTGTCGGCAATAACGCACAATGATGATAATGACCATCCTGTCTGATTTCATTAGGCAAACACATGACAGCAAGCGCTTTGAGCTTCTGCTGTAACATCCTGCAACACCCTGACAAGCCACAGACGTGATTATCACCGCTTACTGCATCACACAGCTGGTTGAAAGAGGTTGGAAAAAAAAAAACCAAAAAAAAACCCACATAAATACATAAGAGTCCCACTGCACACGTCGCTAATTCAAATTACCAATCCAATAAGGCTCAAGGGTATCCACCGTCCTCTGAGGGAAACTCATTAACCTTTGTTTTTAGCATTATTTTCCTCTTAATAGTCCTTTATGTCAAAACCTCTATGATGCTGTGTAATTTGATTAGGCTAAGTCGATTTTAAAAAATGAAGATTTTACAAGACAATTCAACATAATAAATGTTTCCTTACCGCCATGTTACATGTATTCATAATTGCCAAAACATCAAGTGATGAAGGTTGATATTGATCATCCAGGATTGCATCACCTTGGTATAGATGGTGCATGTACAGCAGATGCAGCTGAAGTATGTGTTCTTTTTGTTTTTTTTAAACAGCACTGCATTCTGCAGAAACACTCACTCCCTGTCCCGATATAACTACACAGCTGCCTTGTACCTGGTACATAATCCCCAGGGGGAGGTCTTGGAAAGCATTGTGCGAATAAAGCAGAGCTAGAAGAGGGAAGCTCTTTTGACTTCAGAGCAAGATATTGACATCTAACCTCAACTCTTAACAGATTTACAGTCTTATTCTTGTTTCTTTCTTGGTGCTGGCATTTGAGTCCCCCCCCCCCTCCGGAATAAAGAGATAATTTCAGAAAGCAGCGCCGGCCTCTTTGGCATCATGTTCTAAAATTAGGATACTCAGCCTGCACAGTTACCAGCTTCCCTCAAATACCGGCCTGAAATAATGACAGCTAAATAAATGTCTAATCAACGTTGCTCACTCCCTCCACACTATCATGTCAAACCTGAAATATAAACATTTCGTTTTGTCACAGGCATACAACCATGAGAATGAGCAATAAGACTAGAAATGAATGACAGTGGCCTAAGGATATCATCAAAACCTACTTTACTTTATGTGTTTCACAAATATGAATGTGTCGATTCAATCATTTTTTCATCTGGACACAAACACGTGGCTTTTTATGTGATGATGGAAGTGCACAGAGCCAATAAGAGCATGGAAGAATTCAACCGCAGTCCTCAAGAGCCGGTGTCCTGAAAGGCATGAAACGTTCCCTGGTCCAACACACCTGAATCAAATGGCTGAATGACCTCCTCGGTATGCAGTCGAGTTCTCCACAGCTCTGCTAATGACCTGATTATTTGACTCACGTGTGTTGAAGCAGACACTCATCTAAAAGTTGCAGAACACCAATGCTTTAAACTGAATTACCCTGATGTAGCAGGTGTGGTAGTAATTGCATAAAAACTGGTCGTTTTAGTCAAAAATAATGTCAAAGGGTATTTTTGCATAACGATATTAAAATCCCTGCTCGAGGTCGACCTTTGTTATTATGGAGGGTTAGTTCTGCGTATTCCAATTAATTGCGCTCAATTCTCATGTCAAGTTCAAATGCTATCCAGTCAATATCTTGGAAACTCTAGGTGGCATTCATAAAACCAACATGTTACAAACAGGTCCTTTAAAGCTGCAGTAAGTAACTTTAAAAAATGTTTTTACATATTTATTAGAGCCTACAGATAAGTTTTGTGAAAAAAAAATAAAGTTTTGTGAAAAAAAAATAAAAAATTGCTCCTTGTGGTCCTGCCACTTGCAAAATTACGCAGCTCCCGGTCAGAAACAACCAATCAGAGCCAGGAGGAGGGTCTTAGCGCAGTCAATAACACTCATGTGCTAATAGGGAAGAAGCAAATTTCCATTACAGGGAAACTGTTTGCCCACAGTCACCGGTGGCTATGCTAACTAGCATGATCATTCATGGGAGGCTATGTTGTGGAGAATGTTTTGTAGCACATCAGATAGCAAGCATTTGAGCAGCACATATGTTACAGTCACTGACAGTAAGACCCTCCTACCTGGCTCTGATTGGTTCTTTCTAACCAAGACATGTAGTTCTGCAGATGGCAGAAGGACCGCAAGGAGGACGCTTGATTTTTTTTCACAGTTTACCTATCTTATACTGTCACAAGATAGTGATAGTTTAATGATTTAAAGAAACATGTTTAAAAAAAATTATTTAAAAAAACACATTTTATAAAAGTTATCAACTGTAGCTTTAAGTCTGATGCATGGATCCAACTTTATCCAGCACTTCCAACAGATACTTGGTGTAACTGAGGTCAGAAGATCTACCATTTTTGCCTCATGGCAGAGCAGTTCTGAATTACAGTGTACGTATCAGAGTAACATCCCCACGGGTGAAGGGACCAAAGGTTACCCACTCAAATGTTGCCCAAAGTGTCACATTGCCTCCACCAGCTTGATCTTGTCTCTTAATGCATCCTGGTTCCATATGATTCACAAATGTAAGAAAATGCATATAGCCATCCAAGAAACAGAGTAAAAAAATAAAAAAATATTCATCAGATCAGGACTTCCATTGCTTGGTAATCCAGATCTGATGATCAAGAGACTTTCCACAGTGGACAGGGCTCAGCAGACAACCCAGACAGATCACTCTTAGCAACTAACTTTTGGAAACCAGCATTACGTTCTTCAGTAAATCTGCACTACAGTCGCTCATCAATTGGATCAAACACCATGGCTCAGCCTTTGCTCCCTATGCACATCAAGAACCATGTCAATGGTCCTATCCTTTGACATGGTTCTTGAGACTGAGACTCTGTTACCAGTCTCAATCAATCTGGTACAACCACCAAAAGCTAATGTTCTGGAGGACCTCTAACCCAGTCGACTAGTCGTCACATTGTGATCTTTGTCAATCTCTATCAAATCCAATTTTTACTTTCAAGGGTAAAATGCGCCACATCGAAAAAATATGTTCACTTGACATAAAGTTGTGCCTTACTGGAGTATGATGTTGCTTTAGCTCTTCATCAAATCTTCTAGGCATATTTCTGCAAATGTGATGTACCACTTACGCACACCAAGGGTACACCCACATACACACACGCACACATCAAGCTGGAGCCTATTACACAAATCATCTGGCTGTACGCCACTCACCAGTTAGCTCTAACAAGTTTTACTCATCTTCGTCATGATCAGTCAGGCTCCGTGGATCCACGGTGCAACCCGTCCACTCTCCGACCAGTAGGAGGGAAATTTTGCATCTTGCTCTTGCATTGGATGTCAGCTCATGCTGCTGCTGCTAAGTTCTATATAAATAAATATATTTTTTTTTAAATTAAAAAGTCTTCTGCGTCTTGCTGATGCAGACACACCCGGACCGTTTCCACCAGGCATATGGGCCTCTGACTGAGGACATGTAGCTCATTTGTCACTGTTTGAGCATCTGGGTTGCACAGGTAAGAGAAGCGATATGATGGAGCAGCATATGGGCCCATCATTCACAAATTGATCATGAAATACAAACTGATCATGAGATAGATAGATAGATAGATAGATAGATAGATAGATAGATAGATAGATAGATAGATAGATAGATAGATAGATAGATAGATAGATAGATAGATAGATAGATAGATAGATAGATAGATAGATATAGATAGATAGATAGATAGATAGATAGATAGATAGATAGATAGATAGATAGATAGATAGATAGATAGATAGATAGATAGATAGATAGATAGATAGATGTGTCATATCTGCCAAACTCCATTAGACAGACATTCTTGGACTCACCAAAAGTGGAACTAATAGTGCAGAAGCCAAAGACTCGAGTCCAGTGCGTCTGATTTAACTGCTCACACACACTGTCTTCCTTTGACAAATTCACACAAATTCACAGCTGGATGTCGGGAATTACAAAATTCGTGGGGTGGTGGACACTTAACCTTCCTATTAAGTTACACAGAGCTGAAAAACCCCAAATGGAAGTGAGGCGCATCTATACGTTATATTTACCGGCAGCCGAAATGTCCCAACCCACAAATAAAACCCCGATACGGCGTCTTTAGCTTACCTGCGTCGGGGACGACGAAAACCGCACCTAAAATCCCACCAGGGTCCCGGTTGTGGCTTAAAAGGCTGGAGATGCAAAGCTGGAATCCGCCAAATCCAAAGACAGAGGAGGGAAGAAAAAAAAAAAAAAAACTCGGGATAGTCCGAGGCTTTGCGTCCGAGCGGGGATGGAAACGTCTGTAAGTCTCCCGCGTGCACAAAAATATCCCCTCGGAAAATACACGTCGCGAGAGATGGGTTTACATTCTCCTTACATCTCGCGCCTCTTGTTGTACCGCGGAGGAGAGGAGAGATGGTGTCCGGATGGAGAACTGCAGCTGCTCTCGTAGCGATACTTAGGCTCTCCTGAAAAAAGAGAGAGAGACGTCGGCGTCAAATCAGAGCCTTAAAGAAAACTCTCCGTAAAAAAAAAAAAAAAGAAATGGAATAGGCTATCAAAAAGAAAAGAAAAAACCCCGCTCGTGTCCAGTAAAAACAAGCGCTCCTGCTTCAGCTCATCTCCGGAGCTGCTGGTTGTCATAAGTTCCCCCCTGTCTGTCTGAGGCGAGACGAAGGAATCCCACCCAAGCAAATGCGCGCACGCGCACGCACATACACACGCGCGCGCACACGCATGCAGTCTCCCCGAATAGTATGCGCAGTCATGCGAGCAATTAGTTTTCATACACGACTTGCTCCGTCCGCTCCTTTGGTTTCTCCTGGCGGGATGCGGCGGAGGGGGGGGGGGGGAATCTTGTGTATCCCGGAAGAAAAACAAACAAACAAACAAGAAAAAAAATAGGCAGCCAATGTCTGATAATGCCAAAAAATAAAAAATAAAAATATCGTCCACCTGCACAAATACGAGCCCGGTTAGTCACGCCATGATGATGATGTCTCGAGCAGCCAGTGGACACTTCCCTAGTTATCACAGGAAGCGACTGACACGTTTCATGGACAGCGCAGCATTGCAGCAACGTGATGTCATTAGGGCTCCGTTTACAGCGAATATAGGCTACGCGACAATACCGAGGGAGAGTGGTCGTTGTTTTGTTTTTGTTTTTTGTTTTTATTTCTGTGGAGAGTTTTGTAGGAATTTATCTATTTCGACAGAAAGAGAGAGAGAGAGAGAGAGAGAGATAGCGGAAGAGAGGCATGCTGTGGGGTGTTTGTGATACTTCGGGTTGGGCTGGTCGCTCATGGTCCAGCACAATATGATACTGCAACAGCAGACAGGAAGCAAGGAGGAGAGAGGTGGGGGAGCTGAGAGAGATGGAAGGCGTGTGTGTGTGTGTGTGTGTGTGTGTGTGTGTGTGTGTGTGTGTGTGTGTGTGTGTGTGTGTGTGTGTGTGTGTGTGTGTGTGTGGAGGGGGGGTCGATTCTGCATTTCAATCGTAACATTCAATCCCCAACTAGTCGGGATATTCGACGGTTTCTGTTCAGGTTGTGGTGATTTTTTGTTCTTTTCTTTATCGAGTTGTTCCCACGCAGCCTGGAAAATTGTCGAATTTGATTTGGCGTGTTTTTAATGTCTGGATGAGTGTGGGAAAAAAGAAAATAAAAGTATGGAGAAATAGAATAAAACGGAAAAAAGAACGGTGTTCTTTTCCTTATGTTGTAATTTTCATCTTACTGTACATTCATTCATTCCTCTTTTTTTCATTTGAATTTACACGCATGATTGCATTTACTTTTAACTTGCTGCCGAATTTCCTCATCATGCAATAAAGTTTCATCCATACATTTTGCTCTGTATATTTCATACTCAAATTTCTTTTGCGTCATGTTTGATATGAACAGCATTTCCATTACAGTGGATGACATTGGCTGCGTTCACTTTGCGAATGTGCGCAAATCTTTGCCTGTATTCTTTTAATGTTGAAAAAACACATTGTCCCAATTGCAGTGTTTCTGTTAATTATATGTGGAAAAAGAATGCAATAAGTCATTATATATCACGCAGCTACATATGTAAACAGTTGCATGACGACATGAAAGTTCAGCCACTAGTGCATCTGTCTGACGTCACAGGAGACGTTGCAGCTACTTATCTTGGGTGAACTGCAGTCTGCAATTTTAAATAAGAACTATGTATTTAACACGTTCGAATTCTACACAACTTTTACTGAACTGTGATGCTGGGAGAGTTGTCAGAAAAAAAGACAAAAACAAACCATCAATTTCTTACTACTTCCTGTCTTCTTCGTTTTTGCCAGTAGCAACATCCAATGCAGATCTCGAAAACACATCTATTTCAATACAGCCACAAAAAAAAAACACCTCATCCTAACCCAAAAACTTTCAATCAAAAGAAACATCAGTTGTTTTTTTTCCGATTGAAACTCAAATGTTTCCATAACCAAATGACAATGTATTTTTGTCATTTCAAGTTGCATGAATGTTTGATTAATGGAAACACAACTGGTGACACAAGATAGAATTATGTCCCTGGAAAATACATAATACTGCCCCTTTAAGACAGTAAAAGTAAGAAATTTGTACATGTGCAGGAGAATGTCCAGATTAAGATAACCAAAAGCAAAACAAAAAAATATCCTAACCACCCACATCTTCCAGTCAGGCTGCACTGCCTACTGGGACAATTTCTCTCTCTCTTTGCCAACAGATATGAAAAATCAACCCAGCAGAAAAATAAACATAAATATCTACACATTGAAAGAAACAAATGAAAAAAACAACAACAGCATTGCTTAATCCTCTCAGAGAAGCCAAATAAAGCCAGAGATCACCTGTTTGTAATCATAGTACAAACATCTGCAGACTGCTCACAATGTCCTCTTTTGTGAACATTGATCCCCCCCACTGCTTGCATGGAGACTTCACAACATGTGACTGCAGAAAGGAATTCTGCCGGACTTGACAAATCCTCTCAAATCAGATTGATTTGGCAGTGGGATTATTGCACACGCAGCAGTTCCAGTTGAAAGCACTGCATTTAAAAATGGGGGAGGTGAGATGCGCAGAAACATGGAGGAGGTATATTTCTACCTTGGAGTAAAGCTTAATTAGATTTTTCTTTCCCCCCCCCCTTTTTTTTCACACATAAAATGCAAAAATGTAAGCCGCAATCAATTTATTACAACTAACCGCTCCCAAATGTTCTGCTGCAATAATAGTAAAAATGATTAGAAGTTAAACAGCAATGAATAAAGTGGCTAATTCGAATAGCATATGCACACTTTATGGTCCTAAAGCGACACGTTTAAGAAGGACAAATCTTAACACAGATTTTCACTCTTCTAGTTACTGTTCTGAAATATGATTTTTGTGTGTGTGTGTGTGTGTGTGTGTGTGTGTGTGTGTGTGTCTGGGTTTTAAAACGTCACAATTAGCCAATTGACACAAGAGGAAGAGCCCCCCCTCCCCCTAATTAAAGGCCCCTTCAGAAACGATTGGGCCCAACGCCATGTTTTGTTTTCAGACATGAACTCGCGAGACGACGCATGCCGCTCATCTGTGACACTTTTGATCGACACCTGCACCGGCTACAGGTCGAGTATAACTCCAACAAACACCCAAAGGCATAATAATCGAGTGCAAGAGAGATCTGGGCGTCGAAACAGTTTTGTGCCTCTTGGACGGGTGCGCCATTGTGCTCACAGAAACCACGAGTTTTATAATGAGATTACCGCGAGGCTGAAGGAGGACGCGTGTGTTCGTGAGGTGGGTGAAAAGCGCGAGACGCATGCAGAGAATACTGATGGAAATTGAAAAACAGCCATGAAGGAAGCCAATCTGCTATTTATATCGGGCCGCCTTCCACGGGGCTTAGCTCCATCTCAGTAATGCACTCTAAAAGTGATTGATTAGTCTGTTACCAAGATATTGTCCATCTTAACAGTCCGCGCTCCCTGAAGTGATGAAATTACCGCACTGTACTCTTTGAAAGCATAATAGCAGATTAGGTCAGTGTGATCCATCCGCTCTAATCAGCAGACCTGCAGTCCCCTAAAATGCTAAACATGAAAGCGGGGAGGAGACAGGTGTGCAGAGAAACGCTTGCCAACCGAGAATTGCATGCCCTGTTGCGGTAGCGCGCAGCGCTCTAAACTGAAATAACTTTTTATACATAATCACACTTGTTCTATGAACTGCCGGTCAAAGTTTTATATCAATAAAATAATATTTGGAGAAAATATATAGGGCATCCCTATAATGGCAAGCTAATAATTTGCTATGCCAAAAAATGCATCAACTGCTTCCTTGAAGAAATGAAGAGTCGAGAGGGATTTCACCTTTTCTACACAATGACACTTGTTCTCTGAGTTACCACAGTTAGTTTCATATCAACAGGACAATAGGGGATGCAAATATTGGCAAGCTCAGAAATTAAAATGCCTGCAATTCTCGGCCAGGCTTGCGTTTCTCTGCATAACACTGGACTTAGTTTCACTACACACCACCCAGCTGCTAATATCCTCAAAGGTGTGCTTAATGACCTGGGAAACATTACATGCTGGGGTTGCTTAATATGCAGCAAAGTGAGTGAAGACATCTCAGATTGTCTCTCTCTCTCTCTACTCAACATGGATGTTCTTTATTACTGTTTTAACAAATTGTTCAAATCAGTTTCCATCAAGTACAGTAAAAATGTTTTGCCCTTTTTCTGCCCCTTCCCCCATCCTGCCTGAACCCACAGGACCCTTAATGTCTTCTGCTGCAGCAGTTGAACTTGTGAGTGAATGGCCTCATGTGTATGCATACCTTGAAATGGGGATTAAAATTAGCACAGTGACTGGGACAATAAAAAGCTGCCCCACAGGAAGAGCAGCATCATTAGAGCACCGATGGATTAACGCGGCCTTATTTCAGCCATTGAATCACCCCGTGTTGAATCACCTTTTTACTCTCAGTCACTGAGTAAAAAGGTGTTATTTAACAAACTCTAAAAGCCACATACCTTCTTGGTTTTGTACGGTAAAAGCTGTTATTTCTGCCAGCTGTGTTGAGTACTTCAGTGACTGGCAGCTTTCATGCCTTCTTCAGAGCATCAAATTCATCAAACCTATTAAACAGAATTTAAAAAATATGTTGAATCACAATAAAAGTCTGAACTAAAACAAGATAAAATGAAAAAATGTAAAAGGTTAATTTCTATGTTTTTGGTGTCAGATGTTAACCCGCTTTTCTGGTTTTTGGAGAAAGATCCAAAATATTTATAATATCTACAAGTCTGTATCAGCATTGTATTGACACAAATGTGGATACTTTAATATTGGCTTCCCTCTTGAAATTTTACTTTATTTCTGTATTGTAGTTTCTCGAATCTACATCATGAAGGATTTTGCTTTGATGAGCTCTCAAACATTTCTTTTTGGGTACGATTTCATTTAGAAAACAGTGCACACAAATTTGTTTTGTTTTTATATTGTGTCTGTTCGTTGTGTAAACGTGGACAGAAATGATATTGTAGACACATATCAGCTTTATCAAAATTCTCTCCGAGGTTTTAAAATAATTTAAAGAAAAACCACACAAATGCCTAAAGGTCAGAAATTTGAAGACATACTTTAGCAATAAGTATCGCACCGTATCGTATTGTATTGTATCAGTATCAGCGATGCTGGCCTTATATTTACTTGGTATCAAATTGATAAAGTATGCAGTATTGAATACATAAAATATCCAATTGCGTGTTTTTGCTCATCATCAGTCAGTTGGCAGATTTGTTGAAACTGCTTAAAGGAGCAGTATTATGTATCTTCAAGATACACAGCAGTAACTTTTAATAGCATGATCAAAGAAGAACTTCAGTTATTATAAAATTTCTGTATCTATTAAACATAACTTAAAAAAATGTGACTGTGCAAACTGATGCTTTGAAATTGGACCTCTGTCTCCTGCTCTTTCCAACACTGTGAGGAGGAGCTTTTGGTAATTAGGCGG